AGGTTTTAGCAAATGCCCTTCATTACTAGGGAGATAGGGTGGTATAGTGGTTTGAACATTGGACTATGAATCTGGAGGCAAGGGTTCAAATTCCTGCTTGACCATGAAACCCCATTGGGTGATCCTGGGCAGGTCACATTCTCTCAGCCTCAGAGGATGGCACTGGCAAACCCCTTCTGAAGAAACTTTCCAAGAAAAACCCATGATAGGTTCACCAAAGGTTGCCATAAGCTGGAGACAACTTGAAAGATACAACAACTCCATTATTATTTTTCTTATTCATCCCAGTACCTCTTTTCCCCCTGGTTCTCCATCTTGATGCCTATTTTCAACGTCTCTCCAATTTTGTCTCTGTCATTCTATGGGTCTGAATTTTCACTTTGTTTCCATATTTGCCATGCAGACAGTTCTTCGGAGATTCCCCACTTTCTTCCTCTTTTGTATTTCTCTAGGAAGATGCCTTGGCAACTATGCATTCATCTATCAATAGATCTTCTAACAACTGCTCCATGAAGACGTTGTTTCCCATTGTCCCATTTTTGGTGAGACCATGGCTGAATGGGCTGTGGAAGGAATGCCAAGGGTGAGCATATTTCAAACTCGGAATAGGTATCGGCAGCAAGGGCAAAACCTAAAGAAGGGTCCAGATATATAGAGTTTAAGATAGTCAAGCAGAGTTCTCCCCACCCCCCAATGAGTCAATACATGGGGAATACAATGGAAAGAATATTCAAAATTTGGTTGAAAAATGTCTTTCCCCCCACAATATTGGGAGCCCATAATGAAAAAAAAAAAAAATCCTAGAAGGGCAAGAGACATAGCAGTTGGGATTTAATTTGCGTGGGAAATGTACTTTTGTTTGTAAAAAACACATTTTCCGCACGGACGTTTCTTTATGGAGGAAAAATCCCTGTAAAGAAAATAGTACTTCTCTGCACAGAAAGTAACATTTCTGCACAGAAAATACCCTTATGCAATTTTCTGCACAAACATGTACTTTTTTATGTAGAATAAGTCCCAAAGTTATAATAACCCAGTTTTCAATTACTCTTCTGCAGCAAGGAGATGGGAAAAAGCTAACATTATTCATTCTTGCTCAAGAGAAAGAAATTTATGAATATTTATACCCCACTGCACCGGACACCAGTACCATATTTGTGTCCATTAGCTACAACTGTTTCTTTCTTTCTTTCCAGGAAACTCACCACTGCTGATGGCTTACAGACTGGCACTGTTTCCTGGATTACTACTCTGAGTAGTACTGTGGTACAGCAATGAACATCTGCCCAGGGAGACAGCAAACAGTCTTGTGGTGACAGGGTATGGCACTGATCCCCAACCCTCTCCCTCAAAAGCACACAACCTAATAGGATTATCTCTTCCTCCCTGTGCATTTTGGCCCAGGAAGATTTGGATCATCTTCTAAAGAGGAGACTTCCATCTTGAATATAGCAGCTGGTTTTAGATGATGCTATTGTTGTTGTTGTTGTTGTGTACCTTCAAGCTGTTTCTTACTTATGGTGGTCCTAAGGCGAGCCTATCAGGGGTTTTCTTGGCAAGATTTGTTCAGAGGAGGTTTGCTCTTGCCTTTCCTTGAGGCTGAGAGAGTGTGATTTGCCCACACTCTCTCAGCCTGATTTGAGTGGGGAATTGACTCTGGTCTCCAGAGCTGTAGTCCAACATTCAAACTACTATGCCACACTAGCTCATAATAGCACACTGGTGCTATGATATCTTTTACCTGCTGAAAATTAATTTCTATTTTCTTTGCAAGTGACCTCTCTATATACAACTTGGTATCTGAACTCTTGCCTAACTGAAAATGAAGGGGCTTCAGAGGCTTCTTTCCAGAGCTAGATATCTCATGGTACAGTTCCCAGAATGGTCTACTGGCCATGCTGACTATGAGGGATATGAGACTTGTAGTACAAGAAAAGAAATGCCATGATATGGAGCCAGGCTTTTTTAGCTGCTAAAAGGCTACCCACTTCACCAGATGGCTGCTGATGGAGCAAATACTATGAAACCAATTCATAAAAAATAAAATATGTCCCTGACTCCAAGGGGCTTACTCTGGAAAATAGATCCAACACCAAACTTTGCTTGAAAAGTAATCAATATGTCACTAACATGGATGAACAGATACATAATTAGAACAACAAACAACACAAATTAGAAAACAATCTTGGCTGTATTTAAAAACTCAAATGCAAACACAAACACACTACAACTGATAGATCTCAGGGCCTGGGCCTGAGTCTCCAGTTTTTGTGGGACATCTCCAGGCAGGAGATGAAGGTGCAAATGCTCCAGGGTTGGTGTGATCAGCTCTGTGCAAGAGGAAAGGATTGTGGACAATGCACCAACTCAGCTAGTAGAGCACTAGTTTGCTAGGAATTCCAAGACTTCACTGATTTTTTACTTCAACTTGCAAATACTAGAGGATCTATGTATTTACTTATTTCCTCCTTCTCTCCTAGTTATTGTAGTGCCAGGGATCACATTTCTCTCTTTTGTACACCCACCTTCTGGCTAGAAGCAAGTAGGGCTAAATTAAAGATTCCTCATCCCATTTCCCCAATAACTCCCTCATTTCATCTTGGTCTGGAAACCTTGAGTTGCTTACTGTCCTAAATTTCCAAACAGAAGCATACACTTTCTCTCTCAGTTTACACTTGAAAGACATCCTGTGAGCAATTGTGGTTGGTATTTGACGTACAACACTTAATGACATGACCATAGGCTCTTCCTAGCTCTCAGTTTTTGGCCTGGAAGCCTCAATGCCTGGGATGATCCTGAACGGGCAACTCTAAAACATACACATTTCCTTGTTTAACCCTGTTATTTCCTCTTTCCTCTCTGGCAGATGGCTGCACCCTCAGATTGTAGTCTGTTAATCCAGGAGCACCGGGAAAGGCTTCTGCGTTGGATCGAACCCAACCCAGCTCCCTTGCTCCGTCGACTCCGAGACTGTGAGCTCCTCACCCAGCCAGAGTATTTCTCCTTGCTGGAAACAAACCCCAAGACCAACCAAGTCATTGCACTTCTGGAAAGGGTCAGCAGGAAGCCTGAGGAGAGCCAGAAATTCCTGGAGGAGCTTCAGGAGCTGCGTGAGACTTACTGTCCTGAGTTGCAGCATTGGTTGCAAACACATTATCCAGAGGAGAAAAATGGAG